TCTTGCCTGGGGGTCCAGAGGAGGGAGATCTGCCTACTGGTGCTGAGCAGTTCCATGAACATTGGATCAACACCACATATATACGAAAAACTTGAGTCTTGGACTGGTGGCCTTTGGGCCTGGGGAAATGATCAAGGACGATGGTCACATTTGATCCGAGCATTTCTATTCTTGGAATCACATTCAACATTCAACATATCTTTCTCTCTTTCGATAAGAGAACCACGGATACAAGTCCGGAAGTATATATAAACACAGCGGTGAGCAAACGGCAGCCTGGCTGTGCTCTAAAGATAGTGTGTGGGGGTTGGGGAATTATTGGCTGCTAGGCCAGTGGAGGATATACCCTTTTGTCGCATTTTGGTTCAAGGCCGTAGAGAAACAACGGAAGTTGGACGTAGTATAAAATACACCAGCTCTGTTCCCATTTAGGACGACAAATGTCAGCAAAAGAGAGACCTGTGAGTCCTTCTTTCACAAGTCTTTGTTGTTCAGAGTACGTTTTTCAAAGTGCCATATAACATCGCGCTCTTGTCCACTATCTGTTGAGGCATGTGTCGTGGTACAAGCCTCGAAATGTGAAACAGCTACTACGGGCTGGCGAAACTCTAATGATGTGACGAACACAGTGTTCGCGAGTTCCGCCTACCAGATGCGACGGAACGTAACACAAGCCTGTGGTGGAAATGAGGACACTGGCGTCAGAGTTGATGAAATATAGCGTGCGCACATTCAGGTTAATAATGCAAGATGCTTATTGAATATGCAATGTTAAGAACAAATGGGTATCTTGGTTATGAAAGTACAATTGGAAGAAGACGACCTGTCTTCTCAAGGACTGAACGCCGTCAACAGAGGACTGGATTCCAGACATTTGCAATCGCTACTGCCTTGGGAACAGCGCACTGGAAGCGATCATCCCAAAGCCTTCACCTTCTTCTTTTTCTTCTTTGCGCCGTCAGCGGGCTCTGGCTTCTTTCCCTGCTGGTAGTCCCTCCAGCTGTTGATGCGCGTATCCCTGGTCTTCTCCCAAGCTTCATCTTGCTCCCTCTTCCTCTTGCGCTCCTTAATCTCCTCATCTTCCTTCCTCTGTGCACGTCCCTCTTCTCTCATAGCGGCCTTCATTTGCCTCTGCTTCCTCATCTCGTTGTCTCTGATGACCCAGATGACCTTCTGCCTCCACTCTTTCGCAAACTCCTCGCCACGTGTCTCTTCGTCGTCAGCAGTGAGCTTCTTCTCTCGCATGAGCAGCATGCGCGCATCGGCAATGTTCTCGTCTAACTCTGCGCGCAGCTTCTCGTCGAGTAGGACAGTCTGGGCTTTCTTGAGACGGTCAAAGGCATCGGGGGCGAGCTCGTTCTTGGTCTTGTCAGGATGAATGAGGAGGGACTTGGCGCGGTAGACTTTCTTGATGTCGGATTCGGGGACACCAGGCTGGAGATCGAGGACGGCGTAGGCATCGAGACTGAAAACACTACGGATGCCTGTGTTTGTTAGCATGAGATTCTAGTATAGTAAAATGAATATGGTCAAGCTCGATCTTGGTTCAAGCAATCCTAGAGTGCAACTTACGGTCTATCTCAGCGTCCTTGTCAAGCTCCTTGCCGAGGCCCGCGAGCTGAGCATCGATATCGTCGTCGGCCATGGTGAATGTATGGACGCGTTGTATTGGTTCGGGTATAGACGGGGTGGAGGTCGGTATATTGTTGTTTGAAAACTACAAAAGGAAGAGATCAGAACTCATCAAGCTGCACCCAGCTCCTTCCTTGTGTTGTTGGTGGAAGTGACGGTGAAGACAGCAGCGCGCGATGTCGCGTGAATCCCCGCGGCGAAGCGCACGAGCCACCAAAGCCGAAGTTCTCCACCAAAAAGTTCTCTCGCGATGCGCCAACCAGCCTCAACACCGAAGCAAGCCGAAGACGAGGTAGTGCGCTGAAATGGTTGCATCTGGATTCACAGGTCGCACGCGACCTACCAAGGTCAAGAAGAGGGAGAACATCAAGAAGAGGACGCGCGATGATGTAGATGTCGCGAAGCTGGACCAGGCCGTCCAGGCACTGGTATGTATGCAGCGACTTACAGGAGACATGGAGCGCAGCAAAGTAACCGTATACAGGACCCCAAGCATGGCGCTTACAAAGACTTCACCGACCTCCCGCTTTCCGACCCAACCAAGCAAGGCCTCAAATCGTCGCATTTCGCCGTCATGACAGATATCCAGGCAAAAGCCATACCGCTGGCCCTACAGGGACACGACATTCTCGGTGCCGCCAAGACTGGTAGCGGAAAGACACTCTCCTTCATCGTACCCGTGCTAGAGAATCTGTACCGACATCAGCACATTGGCCCCGACGCTGGCTTGGGCGCCTTGATCCTATCCCCGACCCGAGAACTCGCTATCCAGATATTCGATGTCTTGCGCAAGATCGGACGACATGGACACATGTTTGCGGCAGGTCTGCTGATTGGAGGAAAGAGCTTGCAGGATGAGAGGGAGGCTCTTACCAAGATGAACATTCTTGTTGCAACACCGGGCCGTATGCTACAGCACCTGTCGCAAACAGCAGCCTTCCAGGTGGACGACTTGAAGATGCTGGTGTTGGATGAGGCAGATCGGATTCTTGACATGGGCTTCCAGCGGGACGTCGACGCCATCGTTGAATATCTTCCTAAAGAAAGGCAGACGCTGCTCTTCTCGGCTACACAGTCGAAGAAAGTCTCCGACCTGGCTCGCTTGAGTCTTCAGGACCCCGAATATGTATCCGTACACGCCGAGGACAAGAGCGCGACCCCCAAGGGACTTACGCAAAACTACATCGTTTGCCCGATTGAGGAAAAGTTGGACACTCTATGGAGTTTCATACAGGCGAGCAAGAAGTCCAAGATTCTTTGCTTCTTTTCGTCTGCAAAGACTGTTCGATTCGTCTACGAAGCTTTCCGTCACATGCAGCCTGGTATACCACTTCTCCATATCCACGGTCGTCAAAAACAGGGAGCTCGACTTGATACAACGGCAAAGTTCTCTGCGGCGAAACATTCTTGCCTGTTTGCGACAGATGTCGCAGCTCGAGGACTAGATTTCCCAGCAGTTGACTTCGTGATTCAAGTCGATTGCCCGGACGACGTCGATACCTACATCCACCGTGTCGGCCGAACAGCACGGTACAATCGGGAGGGACGCGGAGTACTATTCTTAGCACCAAGCGAAGAGGAGGGCATGCTCAAGCGCTTGGAGGCCAAGAGAGTGCCCGTCGAGATGATCAACGTACGACAAAAGAAGCGTCAATCAATCAAGGACCAGCTACAGAACATGTGCTTCCAGGATCCAGCTCTCAAGTACCTCGGTCAGAAAGCATTCATGACGCACGTCAAATCGATATATCTCCAAAAAGACAAAGAGGTGTTCAAGCTCAAGGAGTACAACTTGGAAGCATACGCTGCTAGCTTGGGTCTGCCGGGAACGCCAAAGATCAAGTTCTTGAAGGATGACAACAGCAAGCAGAGGAAACAGGCATCAAGACAGATGATTGAAGTTTCAGACTCTTCGGACGCTGAAGAGGCTCCAAAGGCAGACAAACCTGTGCGAACTAAATACGATCGCATGTTCGAGCGAAAGAACCAGGATGTTTTGGCAGAGCATTACCAGAAGCTGGTCAGGGATGGAGATGACGAAGCCCCAGCAGATGAGTTCAGCGGTGCCGGAGCGACGAATAACGCCGCCGACGACGACTTCATGGCCGTCAAAAGGCGAATTCCGGCTGATGACGATTCGGGCGATCTCGACTCTGATAAGGCTCTGGAAGTCCCACCAGGTGGTCGACTTGTTCATATTGCTGGTGCTTCTCAACCAATTGTTGTCGACAGCAACCGCCGCGAAAAACTCCTGCAATCGAAGAAGAAGCTTACCAAACTTATGGACAAGGGCAAGAAGCTCGTCTACGACGACGAAGGCAACCCGCACGAGATCTACGAACTCGAAGACGAGGAGCAATGGCGCGCCAAAGGTCTACCAGAAGAGCAACGTCAAAAGTTCATTGAAGCAGCACGTGAGGTCGTTCAGACCGCCGATGTCGAGGATAAGGCGACCGCGAAGGCGAAGAGGAAGGAGCGAATGCTCAAACGCAAAGAAAGAGAGAGGGCTGAGTTGGCTGGTGAAGGTGGTGAGGATGCGGGTGTCGAGCTTCCTGATCCTGGTGAGGACCTTCTGGCCAACTTTAGGGCGGACGCAGAATACAGTGATGATGAAGACGAGGAAGAGCAAGAAGAGCAGCCGAAGAAACAGAAGAAGTGGTTCCAATCTGATTCCGAGGATGAAGAGAAGACTAAGAAGAGGAAGAAGGCAAAGGCGACGCACAGAGTGGAGGAGCCGGAGACGCTGGAAGATATGGAGGCGCTTGCTGCCGGCTTGTTGGGCTGATTGGTATTTTGCATCTATTTACATATAGTTATCAAACTCCCACATGGGATTTTTCATGTTCTGAACCGAGATCCCTTTGTATTTTCCCTCTAGCATCTAGCAAAATGCGATTATGATCTCCTTGTGTTTTACATGTTTACCAGAACTACGATCGCCTAAATCAGTTGGCCCATCGTCTCGCTCTGGGCCGGCGATAGATTGCCGACAATCGCAGCCGATCGTTGAAGGTGGCAGGGATGGCTTACCATGCAGCTGGTATTGCCTGTATACAAAATTGTATGCAGCATCATCTAAAGCCTCGTGTTGTAACCGGGGGATGGGCTGAAGAGGCTCAACAACCATCTATTTAGCCTACCGACCCATCAATATAGATGAGAAGAGCGTTGGTGGAATTTCGGGTTGGGGAGGTGTTGATGCGAGAATGGCATGTGTTCGGGTTACGAGCTTGGAATTTAAACCAGTAGAATATATATCATAGCCCTGATTCTTCAGACACTCGTCCTCCTTGTCCTTAGCAACTCTGATCAAATCGTTATAGGAACCTGTATACTCGACTCCGTCTTGTTTCCAACGAACGACTACAATGCACATCGCCATCGCCATCCTGATCGCATGGCCAGCGTTCCTTACCTCCGCCATCCCAATAGTGCCTCGAGCCGCCCTTGTAGGCTCACCAAGAAATGTCTACCTCACCACTTGCACCACGCGGTCCGTTACCGCCGACACAACCTTGTCCTCTGCGATCCTCTACAGCGGCTCCGCATCTACCAACAACCCCACAGACATCGGCACCGTATCTTCTCCGCGCGCTGTCCAGTGGGCTGGTTTCACCCGGCGCGTAACCCTCGAGTCTGGTGTTTTTGAATCTAGGATTGCACAGAGTGCTGACACACTGCCGAAGAGCGAGCTTGCGGGGTCGGCGACCTTGACGGGAGATGGGAATCTCAAGGAGGAGTTTGCCTGTTTTAGGGATGGAACGAGTACGTTTAGAATTAGTGCCGGAGTGCTGGGAGCAGAGACGACGGTTTGCGTGGCAGACTTCTGGTGTGGGAGTATTGCGGTTTAGATGAAGGATAAATATGGCATGTATGGTGTTGGCTGAATCTCTCGATACGTGACAAGCTTGTCGTTAGTGTAAGGTCTTTTAATTCCATAGACACTCTGTTCTGCATCTGCGAGGCGCATCATCATAGTCGCTGACTGGCGATCGTCATCAGAATACCATTACCTAGGTATCGTCACCAATTTCACAACGTCCCAGCCGCTGGCATGCACACGAAACATATTCTTGTTATCGAATGACACTATCTCTTATCTTTCTTGCGTACATTTTACTTTGGAAGACGAGGCAAAAATACTGGATAAAAAACATACAACAGCGGGGATTCGCCAGTGGTCACCCACCTGACTACTAGTCCGCCGGTCGAAGGCTTAACGTGTGGAGAGCAAACGGGATCCAGTGTTTATCCTTCGCCTGTGGTCGTATGTGGAAGGAATTACAAAAAATATTGTAATCAATGTTGGAGTTGTAATATATCCGACGTTGAGCATGTCGGAGAAAGTAAGCTATGCCAGATGGAATCTTGGGAAATTGTGGAAGAAGTAGGATGAAAACATAGAACACGAAAGAACTTAGTCGGAAACGTGGAAACCGTGTTGCTTCGTCCCAAAGCAAGATGTACATGATCTGTTCTCCAAATACTATACAATACGTACATAGATAGTGACATCATAGCAATACATATCTTCTAGAAAACCGTAATCAGACAAAAAAAAAACGACCCACATGAACTAGTCTGTCTAATTGATATTCTGAAGAGCTTCGTGTTGACCCAAAGCGCCTACGGAAGCACTCGTTCTCGCTTACATTCTTCCACGACGTCTAGGCCGAGAAGATACGTACATATATCTAATTTCCCGTACCTAGACTTGAACTGTTAGCTCCATACTAGGGTACCAAGCTGTTGAGCTTGGTCTGGCGATGTCTTCGGTTGCGATTGCCTATCTCAATCTCGCCTTCTGTCACTTTCTGGGACCGAAGAGGGCCACAAACCGTGGTACGGAACTGCACACTTATGTCCGATCGCGGACACGTTCCTGACTAGAGTTTTGGGCTTGATATCCGGCTGGTCTAGTACTTTCTAAGCGATTGAGCGGTTGCGACCGTCATGACGATTGACTTGAGCTTGTCGTTTCGCGATCTTGCAAGCCACTGAAGATGTCGGCGGTGGAGTCAGCTACCACATGATCGTATCTGTCGGTAACGGCATCTGCACTATCCGTAAGTCTTGCGATGCGGATCATGGGCATACAAAATCCAGCCAATGTTCCCAATACCGTGTCACGGGTCATATCTCCGTTATTACAACGCATGAAGAAGAAGAAAAAGCGGAGATATTGCGCCGGTGAAAACAAACATAGTCCCGAAGCCAGCTTCGTACTGCATCTAACATCTGATTCCGTGCCGTCCTTGTGATGAAAAGCAAAGAGATACGACTGGGGACATGGAAGAAGCAGTTTCGGGTACGTGGTGCTGCAGCCGACCTTATGCAGAGAGCGGGTGCCTCATCCCCTCTTTTCAACTATTTTCCTTTTCTCGACGACGACGACGACGACGACTGCTTTTGCCTTCCGCGGCTGCGTTGTGCAGTGCATTGAACAATTCTCCATCAATCATCATGCAGCGATTGAACGAAGCTTTTCACTCCTGCATCTCGCCCCGCCCTCTCGTACTCACTATGTGTCTTTCCCTCCATCCTCTCGGCGCGTCTTCCTGCCATGTTGATACGGCCGTACCTTCTTTTACAATGGATAGGATCGGCCCGCTCAGATGAAGAATCGGCTATGCTTTGGTAGTTTGGTTCGTTGAGTAATTGTGCGAGCATGTAAAAGACATGGCCGCATTCGGGTAGCATCTGAGGCAGGTTAGCCATCTGGTCGCGCCATGCAGGGGTTTAGGGGCTGGCTGGTGCGGGCAGACGATGCAGGCCGGGAATGAAAAGAAAATAGCAAAAGGAACTTTGAAGAGAAACGTTGACATAACGATAACGTCACGGGTCAAAGCGTGCGGCCGGTAGCGAGATGTGGTATACGCGGCTAGGGGCGTTCCCGCGGGGGTGCTAAGATCTTGCGGAGGTTTCCGATGCAGGAGGGAGTCCCATGTCTTTGGGTCGAGGTGAATCGCAGGTGTGGCTGGCTGGGCAAAGTGATTTGGACACTAGACAAATGATTGCGTGCTGTAGAAGGTGTCAGAGTACATGAAGAAAGAGGGAGTGAAATGAGGCCAAAGCATGTCGATTCCATTTGTGAAGTCTGCATAGACAGATTCTTCTAGTCTTATTGAGATGCTCCAACACCAAATCCCTATGATTCATTATTCCATTACTCCAGCTGACTCCCCTTTCCAGTCAGACAAGACATACCCAAAGATACAGAGACCGTATGCCCTTCCAGCAGTGACAAAGCAGAGATACAATAGGAAAACGATTCAAGATGAGCAGTGACGTTTCGTGATATCCAGTCCTCCATAATCAAGGGAATACTGGTGCAGGACAAAAACGCTTTTAACTCCTGATGGCAACGCCTGCGCCAAATTGTGATGTCCAAGAGTGTGCCGTATTAAGATTATGCCAAAGAGGCCTCCATATTGGCCCTCGTTTGAGAAATTAATGAGACAAGAGAAAAGTTTGGGCCAAATTGCCATCGTAAGACTGGCAATATAAAATCATCGACGAAAAGTCCGGGTATAAGCAAGAAGCGAAGGTCGACGTAGCAATAAATATGCTTTCAGGACTGAAGCTACTGCCCTCTGAAGTCACCAGGCCCCTGATTGGCAAAGATGTAGCTCTTAGGCTGGGGTTCAGTTGTTCGCCGTAGTAGATTTCCATGTGAATCGGTGCCTTGGGGTGGAGTGTACTGGTGTACTAAAAAGTCGGGCATTGCGGAGACCTGAGGAGCGAAAGGAACGTTGTGATGGATGCCACTCAATGACATGTCCTTGAATTCATCGTAGTGCATGTTTCCAGCCTGCATATACTGTGAACTACTGTCATTGCCTTGTGCCTGAGCAGTGTCAGGTAGTGATGGTCGTCTGAAATGCTCAGGCTTCGGTTGCTGGATCGTAAGGTCGGTAGTCGAATGGAAAGCCGCACGCATTTGAGGTTGTTGCATATATGATGTCCGGGGGAAATGTTGCTGTGTTGCTGGCGCTGACTGAGGAGGCGTATCGCGATACAAAGCATCGTTGACAAAACGCGATTGAAGGTCCAAAGACGAGGATGGTGGTGAAGTGGTCTTCGCGATAACATTTCCAGCTTGATCAGAAGACCAATTTGTGTGCATGCTCTCTGGACTATTGTGATCGGGCATCGCTGAGTGAGGCCTTATCACGGCAGCACCACCCCAGTAGTTTCCAAAATCCTGTGGTGTCAGTGGAGTTGGCGGTGCCAGACTACCGCCATGTCCGATTGTTGTAGCACTGGAAGTGGAAAATGTTCGTGCGAACTTCGGAGAAGCTGCAGCATCCGAGAAGCTTGACACCATAGGTGAGCGCTGCGCAGAACCTGGTTGTGACTTTTGAACACGACCTCCAGCGTTTGGAATCCCACTCGATCGGATCCTTCGAATAACCTTGTCACCGTTACCTCCTGGTGATGACATGGGAGCAGAGTAGGAAGCACTCCTCATTGCGCTGGAACTTAAGTTAACTGGGCGCTTCTGTCTTCTTGCTGCAATGCTTGATTGTTGATCTGGTGGCTGGAAACCGTCCGGAGTGCTGTTTCGGATATGTATCGCGTCCATGTTGTTGGCAAGGTTGCTGCTGGAGGAGTTTCTCCGAGCGAATGCATCCTCGCGGAAGTGCAGTGGGATATCGAGATCAGATGGCGCCGCACTAAGCTTTCGTGCTTGTTCTGGTGTAGAGAGGATCGCATGTGCGGATGTGTTGGATTGTTGGTAGAAGTTTGACTGCGGGTACATTTGGCTGGAGCCATCCTGGGGCCAGAATGGAAGCGTCTGCTCGGAGGCTGATGCCTGAGCGAGACTGTACGGTGCGAACTGGTCCTCGGGCTCTTCGACCTGTTTGGGATGCGCCATTTGCGAAGGGTCCTCTGTCCAGCCAGTGTAAACGGAGTTCAGCGAAGCGATAGAAGGAGGAGTTGGTCCATTCGGTGACTGAGTCGTACCAGATGACTGGGTCCCATTGTAGGGCGATGCATCCGACGATATCGATCCCGTGCTTTGCTGGGCTTCCACAGATGCCGAGTTGCTGTTGTTGGTAGCAGCAAGCGCAGAATAGTCTAGCTGGAAGTCGGCAAAGTTGTCGAATTCTGGATGTGAGGGTGCAAGGTCGTTGGGCATGGGCGCTGGAACCGAGAAAGCGCTTAGGTCGCTGGAGTATCCGTTGGAAAGACCGGTGGTGTCGTAGAACTCGGGCTCCTGGGTATTCAGAGACATGCCACTGTTGTGCATGTAAGCACCGTTGGTCGCAGCCATGATGGAGTGCATGAGGTCGTTTGAGCGATACGATGCGGAACGGTCAGGTTCCGGAACGGAGTGGAGGCCGTGCTGCATGTCAAACTGTTGCTGTTGTTGCTGGTGCTGCTGCTGCTGCTGTTGGTGGTGGTGTTGCTGCAGTGAGAGTTGGGGCCCTAGGTCGAGGGCTGACGGTCCCTCGCCAATTTGCACGGGAAGGCTTGCAGGGCTAATGTCAGCGTTCGGGTAGAAGTCCGGCTGCATGAGCATATGCGGGTGTTGCTGCTCTTGCGGGTGTGCATAATGGTTAGGCATGGCCGGGACGTGGGAATGACCGAAGGGAAGGCTCATGGTCATGTTGTACTGGTTCATTAGCTTCTTGCGGTCCTGCTTGACTTTTGCCCTGCGGTTCTGGAACCAGTTCTGCACGCGAGTTAGCGAGGCACGGCATGCGCGCTCTGGGGACGACTTGCGTTGATCTTGTCCAGTGGCACGCCGAGGCGCGTCGCAAATTCCTTCTTCACATTGGTGCTGGGCTTGTGTTGGGCCAGAAAGTGCTGTTCGAGGATGTCGTGCTGGTCCTTGGTGAGGCGGGGTTTGACATCGCTGCCGGGCTGCTTGGGCGCAGAGGGTGCTGTCGTCGAGCCCCCGCTGGAATCCATGGCGGCGCGCACAGCGGCAATACACCTCGAGCGGCTTCGGACGGGCGCAAGTCAAGAGGCGACAGGTGCTGCAGTCAAGTCGTCGTCGTGGGCGCGTTCGGGTAGTGACAGGCAGTGGTAGCTATGGAAGGTAGATCTGGGGCGCCTGGCGATGGGCAATAATGCGTAGAGCACGGATACACGGGATGCACCGAGACGGGTCGGGGCTGGGATATAGATGTGTGTCGAGGGAAGATGCCAGTAATGGTAGCGAGTGACGGTTACGAAGGGGAGCGGGAAACAACAGCGGTAGACTCTATATCTACAATAGAAAAACGAGGGTATTCAGCGCGACGGCGCGGTAGGAAAGGCACGAAGCGAACGACGACGGAGAAGAAGAGCAGGAGGAGCGATCAGGTTGTTGGCTGCCGCTTGGTTGGTCGGAGGTGCTAACGTGCTAAGCCACTGAACCCCCCAGCATGCATTATGCTGCTCCGGCACAAAAATAGTTTCGTGACACTGGCTGTCTCCGCTCAGCACACCTCGATCCTGGAGAACATGCACCTGGTGATTCGAGCTCTTGTTTCTTGCACCTGCTCGCCCTCGTGCACTGTGGTGGAGGGCTGCCACCCTTTCACAGACACTTCGACACGTAGCACTGGCCGGCAGCCTCAACCCCCGACGCGCTTCACGATTGCGCGCACAGGGGCACTCTGCTCCAAGGCGCCAATTGGCCCGGCCATGGAGCGAGCTGCGGCGGCGGCTGTGATCCGCCCTCGGGCGGGAGACATGTCCCACTGATTCGAAAGCGATGGATGGTGCTGCAGCTTGGGCCTTCCCCCGTTCGGAGAATATACATGAGTGCGAGAGAGCTTGTCAATGCCATGCCAAAGCAGCCCTTCTCAACCACGTTGCACGTCAAAATGTCTAGTGACGAGTCCATGGCTGCAGCCATGGCTTCAACGTGGACTGCGGGCTCGAGCGCGCTTTTGAGCTCATGGCGTCAACACTGCGACTCGCCTTGTTGCCGACATGCCATGCCTCTCACGACTCGCCGAGTAGCTCTTTGTCAGTAACCGCTTCCGGTCCGAGTGAGTCGACCATCTGTGTGACGAGATGCCACCGGGCGCATGGCCAAGGGGCGTCTCGCGCCGCTGATCTGCTGCCTCGGATGTCGGCGCACATGTTTTGGCATCAGATGGACTGTTCCTGAGCGTACCTTGCAGCAAAGGGGCCTCAGTGCGACGTACGAAACTCAAATTGGCCCCGCCTAGTCCTACAGACTTTGTGTGTTGACTGACTTGGGCAACGGACAATCCCAGCCTAGCTCCGAAGACTCAGTGCGCGCCCCAGCTCTGGGGGACCCGCTGGCCCAAACCAAAAGATGTCGTGCTGCAAGGGCGTCCCTATCATCAGGCGATGCACCCTGCCGACTTATCAGACCTCCTCGCCAACCCGTCTGAACTTAGTCTTCTCTCCTCACTCCTACGCCAGCTGGTCGTGTCGCACCACAGCGACGGCACACCCAGCTGACGTCTTCGACTGCAGTAGTCTGGGTCGCCGTCATCTTTCTAGAAAGCTGTTCGCTGGTGGCTCAGCCTGCTCAAAATGGAGTATTTCATGCGATGCGATGCATTCCGCGACTCCCGTTTAGGGAGGATGATACGGCAAGTTGAACAAGGCTAGTTAGTACTCCAAGCGACCACACTTGCATGCTGGGGAAGGGTCGCCAGGCTGTGCATGCGTCAAGCACATTACAACCTCTGGACATTGTTGCTTCGCCGCAAAATCGGTCCCCGACCTGATCTTCCGTCCAATCTACCGCTTATCGCGAGCTTCAATCGTCTGACTGCAGCTGAATTACCGATGCACGAGTACTTTGGGCTTGCAAGTAACCTGAAAGTGTCGAGTAAGCGCATTAACAACCCTGGCAAAGCACTGAGTCATCCACACAAGAATGAGTAAGGTACTTGTCATTGTCGGCTCTTCTTGCCTAAACCAAGGCATTTTCTATCTGTATGGCTCCTTGCCCAGTCGTCTTATCCCAGGATTTCAGGGTGACACTGCGCATGTCCCTGACAATGTAATCTGCGCCCGCTTCTATCAGCTGTTCTAGTGTATGGGTTGTGTAGAGTCCCACCACTACGAACCCTGCTGCCTTGCCAGACCTAACGCCTGCGGGCGCATCTTCAAAGACAACGATGGAAGGTTCCTTTTCTTGGAGTCCCAGCTTCTTTGCGCCCATCTGATAGCACGCGGGGTCTGGCTTGCCGTTGAGTACATCTTCCGCCGTTACGAGATTCTTGGGATGCGCCAACTTCATGACATCAAGCCAGCCTTGCACAAGCGGCCGCGTGCCCGAGGTGACGATAGACCATGGAACGAGGTTTTCTTCGAGCCGGTCCAACAAGGCTCGCGAGCCGGGTATTTCAACCGCGTCTTGTCCAAACTCCTTTGGTATTAAGCCCTCGACATGGTTGACATCTAATCTGTCAGATGACTGCTTTTGTCAAAACAAAGACATAGTGCTTACACTCCATATTTGCGAGCTTTGGCTCGTAGATTTTAAGAACATCGATCGACCTTCGTCCATGCGATGTGGCGAGGATTACATTAGGATCGACGCCTATCTCTTTTCCAATCCTATGCGGATGTGTAAGCCTTTAGATGTGAAGAATCTTCTACACGACTTACTTGTGCCAGTGCTTGACTATTGCATCCGTTGAGTCGATGATAGTACCACTACCAACATCAGTTGTCTGCTAGCTAATAATGGCTTGAAGACTAAGGCTTACTCCATATCAAAGAGCTGCAGGTAATCAGTTATCAGTATGCAATGCGACCAAGAGTGGTTCTTACCAGGCCATTGAACGTGACGGTTTTGGCCGGCGCCGAAAAAGAGGCTTCGGGTACAGTCATTGTTAAAGTCTACAGGTATAATCGATGAGCTAGCCGTGAACAAGATCAAGATGTTGCTGTGATATTGAAGACTTGAAGAGGGCCGATGTATATAAGATATCTGTAGTAGGGAAAGAGAATGCATTTTAGTGCTAACTGTATCGGGAAAGCTACCCGAAAGCAGCCAATCATGGTGACGACTGTTTCAACAAAGTTAGCCGCAACACTTCAGCCCATAGCTGCGAGGACTAGTCTGTAGATGAGGGTCCTATTCAGGAGTACCAGAGATTGATCTGCGCTTGTTTTCGTCCTGTCAGAGGATGTAAGAGTTGAGCTTGCCAGGGCCGCGGGGGTGGGGCTAGAGCTAACTAGGCGGACACGAGCGGCAGAACTTTTCACGTGCCGAACTTTTTTTGGATCCTCTCACTTTTCTGAGAGACGAGTGCGACCAACATCTACCACGTCAACAATTCACTATGAAGGTCGGAAGTAAGGCTTTCCACGTCTCTGAACCTCAGAGTAGCACTGACACGCACTGTAGAGCCAAAATCGAAGCGCGTACCCGTGCGTCTACGGCACAAGATTGAGAAGGCGTCGGCGGCGAAGCAAAAGAAGGCGAAGAAGCTAGCGAAGAAGGTACAGCAACTGCGCGCGACTGTAGCGCTCGCATGCTGACATGTACAGGATCCAACATGGCGCTCCAAGACGAAGAAAGAACCCGGTATTCCCAACCTGTTTCCCTACAAAGACAAGATTCTCGCAGAGGTCGAGGAGCAGCGCAGGAGAAAGGAAGAAGAGGCTGCGCGCCGACGGCAATTAGCAAAGGAGCAAAGGCTGGGAGGCGCGACTGCAGAAGATGCAATGGACGACGACGAGGAGTTTGAGCAGTTCGACGCCGAAGGTGAGGAGCTTTTGGCCGAGGACAGCGAACACGAGGATTCGATGCAAGTGGTGAGTTCACATGGTTAACAGCAGATGCGCGACTGTACTAAGAATGCGCAGGACAACAACTTGAATCCCATGGCCGCTCTATTAGCTTCCGCCAAGGCGCGCGCCGCCGAATTTGAACAGAACGACGACCAAGACGCCATGGAAGACAGTGAAGATGACGAATCGGATCACGGTGATGGAGTCAAAGTCGCCAAGGATGCGTCAAGAAAACAGTTTGACAAGGTATACAAGCAGGTTGTCGACTCGGCCGACGTCGTTTTGTATGTGCTCGATGCTCGCGACCCAACTGGAACGCGATCGAAAGAGGTGGAGCAGGCAGTCATGGCAGCGGATCGTGGAAGCAAGCGCCTGATATTCATCCTCAACAAGATCGATCTTGTTCCTCCGCCCGTACTTCGCGCATGGCTGGTGCACCTCCGCCGCTCATTCCCTACCCTTCCTCTACGTGCATCCAAACCAGCGCCAAACGCAAAGACTTTCGAGCACAAGGACCTTACGATGAAGGGCACATCCGAGACGCTTTTCAAGGCCTTGAAGACATTCGCCGAGTCCCGTCAGCTGAAGCGCTCAGTCAGAGTCGGAATTATTGGATATCCTAATGTTGGCAAATCATCCGTCATCAATGCCCTGACTTCAAGACTAAGCGGAAGGTCTGCTGGCTGCCCTACTGGTGCCGAGGCTGGTGTTACCACCAGTCTGCGCGAAGTCAAGATAGACAACAAGTTGAAGCTTCTTGACTCGCCTGGTATCGTTTTCCCAAATACCGAAGGATCCAAGGAAAGCAAGGTACAGCAAAAGGCACGACTTATTCTGCTCAATGCCGTCCCTCCAAGGGAGATTGATGATCCCGTTCCTGCTGTCACGCTGTTACTCAAGAGGCTGTCGTCTTCGGAGGAACTGTTTTCGAAGTTGATGGAAGTCTACGATCTACCTCCCCTACTCGCTGTGGGTAACGACAAGACAACCGACTTTTTAGTTCAGGTAGCAAGAAAGAGAGGTCGACTGGGCAAGGGCGGTGTGCCAAACATGCACGCAGCGGCACAGACTGTCATCAATGACTGGAGAGATGGTCGTATCCAAGGATGGACAAGCCCTCCCAAATACGCACCTGCCGAGACTTCTTCCACCAAGACTGCGCCAGCTACCAAGGGCGGCCTCGTCGGTGATCAGAAGGAGATTGTCAAGGAGTGGGCTGCTGAGTTCAAGCTCGATGGTCTATGGGGTGACGAACCGAGTGATGCTGCAGCACCAGAAGCTATGGAAATGTAGGCAGCTTACTTTGACTGGTATGGCGAAATGGCGTTCATCCAAGACTATAGTGCTAGTCTACTTTACTTGCACAGAGGAAAAGGATTTGACTAGATATCACGAGTCTATCAATGATATGTTACCTGCTCTTGAAGATGATCTTGCATATCTGACGCTAGAATTTGTGGATTCTTCCGATGCAAGCCTTGCGATTGACTGCGTGAACCATGTGTGTACCGCTACTGACCGCGTGAAGTCTCTGCGATATCGGATCTGCATCGGATCATCCTACAAGTGAAAAGTTCTCTCCGAGCTGCAACTACCCACCGACGAGAGGGTTCGGCGATATGTTGGCTCCCATAGGTAGGTTTCGCCGCCCCACACTTTCGGCTTCCGTCGGCTCACCCCAGAGCTCCACCACGTTAAGCTTCACAGCTCAAGATACATAACGACAGGTTCCTTGGGATTTCTGATCACACAAAATTAACAGTTTTATTCACAATGGGTTCTTCAAAGGGTCTACAGCCTCTACGCTCTGCTTCCAAGACTCTGAATGCTCTGCCCGCAGCCTATGCTGGCGCGCAGATTGCATCAAGACGGTATGCGGGGACGCTCGCCAACTTCAAGATTCCCACTGTCAACAACGAGCCTAACGTAAGTTGAAAGAGGAACCCTGATATTCAGAATCAATCCGCTGACCATGCTCGATAGCAACACTACACCAAAGGCTCAGTAGACCGCCAGAAGCTCCAAGATGCGGTTGCACGTATGAAGAAGCAAGGTCCAGTACAAGTACCTCTTGCTGTAGGAGGAGAATACGTAAGCTTTGCTGTGAACTTGAAAAGTCCTTACATCGTTCTGACACTTTCCAGATCAACAACTCTTCGATCCTCACTCAGAACAACCCCTCCTCACACGCCGATGTCATCGCCAAATACTCCAATGCTAGCGCAGCCGACGTAAAGAAAGCCATAGATGCAGCACTAGCTGCTAAGCCAGCATGGGAGGCACTTCCATTCGCTGAGCGTGCATCGGTCTTTCTCAAGGCAGCAGATCTGATCTCCACAAAGTACCGGTACGAAATCATGGCTGCGACTATGGTGGGACAAGGCAAGAACGCATGGCAGGCCGAGATTGACGCAGCGGCTGAGCTTTGCGACTTCTTGAGGTTCAATGTCAAGTACGCGGAAGACACATACGGACATCAGCCAACACACAACTCACCGGGAGTCTGGAAGTATGTACAACCCCTGATCGCAGCTGAAGATCAAGGCTAACTCGTGCAGCCGCGTTGAGTACCGTCCTCTTGAGGGTTTCGTCTACGCAGTATCACCTTTTAACTTTACAGCCATTGGCGGTAACCTTCCTGCAGCTCCAGCTCTGATGGGCAACGTCGTTGTCTGGAAGCCATCCCCATCCGCAATTGCGTCGAACTGGCTTCTTTACCAGATTCTTATCGAGGCTGGCCTCCCACCAAACGTGATCCAGTGGGTACCTGGTGATGCTGTGGAAGTGACCCAGGAAGTCCTGGCTCACAGGCAATTCGCGTCTCTACACTACACTGGCAGCACGGCGGTCTTCCGTCAGTTGTATGGCAAGATTGCCAACGGTGTGGCTGAGGGCAAATACCAGAGCTACCCAAGGATTGTCGGAGAAACTGGAGGAAAGAACTTCCATCTTATCCACAAGGATGCTGATATTCCCAACGCAGCTATCCAGACTGTCCGTGGTGCTTTCGAATACCAAGGCCAGAAATGCAGTGCGTGTTCGCGCCTGTACGTAGCAGAGTCTGCGTGGCCAGAATTCAAGGAAATCCTTGTACGTGAGGTCGAAGCCCTGAAGATCGGCGAGCCTACGGACTTCTCAAACTTCATCGGCCCTGTCATCCACGAGGCATCTTTCAAGAAGCTCTCCGGTGTCATTGACGAAGCAAAGAACGACAGTGATCTTGAGCTCGTCGTTGGCGGCAAGTACGACAGCAGCAAGGGTTACTACATCCACCCCACCATCTACCGCACCAAGAACCCCAACCACCCTCTCCTGTCTCGCGAACTCTTCGGTCCTATCCTTGTGACCTACGTCTATGATGATGCCGCGCCCGACGCTTTCTCCAAGATCATCAAGCAGATCGACGAGACTTCCGAGTACGCGTTGACTGGTGCCGTGTTCGCAAAGGACAGGGAGACTATCAAGTATGCATCGGACAAGCTGAGGGACACCGCTGGTAACTTCTACATCAACTGCAAGTGCACAGGTGCGGTTGTCGGACAACAGCCATTCGGTGGATCGAGGGCTAGCGGAACGAACGACAAGGCTGGCAGCGCGACTCTGTTGTCGAGATTCGTAAACATGAGGGCGGTCAAGGAAGAGTTTTTGCCTACTGAGAAGGTTACGTACCCCAGCAACGAGGTGTAAGATAGTTATTGGAAAGACGAGTGTGATCTAAAAGCATAGCAAGTTGAGCTAGCATTGGCGTCGGCGTTGGATGGGCACTCACGATTACGATAAAACGTAAAGATATGTACATGAAATCAGAATGACACAAGTTAGATGTCGGGAGTTATGGTACAATTCTTCACAAGTGGGAATGGCATGTGATTGAACGAAAAGTGAACTGGGAACACAAACCAGGGTGTGTTACGAATATAGATCCATCCTCACCACCGCATGGGCATAACGAGGTTCATAAAGCCAAGACAAGAACACCCAGTCTGCTTAGATTTGTGATATGAACACTCCTGTCGTTGTCAGTTGCAAAAGGTTACTTGCAACAAGGCAATTAGTTTCATCGACACAGAAACGTAGGCATGATTCGGAGTCAGATCCATAGATGCGTTCGCACGTACGTCGTCAGCCCAGGACCTACTTCAACCCACCACGCGTCCCATCCAAACACGGTCACGTTATATGTACCTCGGCAATAACTGAGAAAACGTTGAGAGAAGGGGCTAATCTTACGATGCGGCTCAATGCATCTTCTAGAACCAGCATGAGTCGTGACAGACCCACCGGCTTTCGGGAGCCCCGTTCGTTTCGAAGCGAAGCTTATTTTGAGCCGCAACGCACGGGGCGTACGAGTGTTTGATTGGAAATCGGGGAGATGCGACCGTTGGGGTATTTGGATTGTCGGGTTGACCGTTGCTCAGGGAACTGCAGGTCTGTACAGTGGAGGTTGTGTATACGCAGCAGGCTGAGTTTGGGGTTTACGTATTCCGACAATATGTACAGCTGATGCAACATCGAATTCCGGATCGGAGTCGGTACAGTGCGTCTTGGTCCGAACCAGGGTGGAGCGGAGCGGATTCTGCTGAGGAATCAACCCGTTCCCGTGCGAAGTTGCGAGGATGAGATAAGATGAGTCTCGTATGCATACGCTCGCAACGAAGTTTCAGTCGCCTCTTGCACCTCGGCTACGGTGATGGAGTTAAGCAGCTATTCACCATGATTGCTCATCCTGTCCGGTACACGGTAGACAAGTAATCATCCTCATCTCCACACCAAGAACACGCGTAACCTCCTCTTTTGAAGAAAGTTGTGGAGTAGAGTGCCTGGATTGCACGTATGAGACCGATCCTCCGCTCAAGCAGCCTACCGTCCGCACTTTAACTAGAGGCGGCGGAACGAGCGAGAAATCTTACTTGCTAAGTATATCCCTGGAATGAATCCACAAGGTAACCTCGGCATCTCGGTACATTTTCACTTCGAGATCGTTGCAATAACCTTGCAAAGCCCTATGACGCTCTGTCCGCGATCTGCAACATGCATAGCGGCACCTTTTCCCATCTCCGTAACCCCTGTCAAATTCGGCGCCTACTGTCCGAGGGAGTATTTCAATTGGTTCCGCGCGTTAAGCTTTTCAGAGGCGTTGCTGTTTCAAGCATAGCGCAACGCTTCGGCCGAGCAAACTTAAGATTTTTGATCATGGTGTCATCGCCTCATGGGTCGCACGTTGCAAGCGGATTTGGGAGCGTTGCAAGTCGGGATTAGGGACGAATCCAGCTGGTTGGGCAGCCAGAACGTTTGTCGACCGATCTGTTTTGTCCTTGTCACGCATTGCTAGCGGGTTCTTTACCGCCGCATCGCATGACTTGTGCGCCGCCCACCGTGTGCCTGGGTTGTTTATATGTGGCGTGTCCCGCTGTGATCGTCTTGCTTTCTCCTCCGAGGTTAATTGTGTCGTCACTATTTCGTCTTTTCCCTTACTTTAGATACCCTTTAATTAATACTGGGCATCGTCCCTACCACCTTGCTCCTTATTCTTTCGACGGAAGATATCAATTATTACACAACGCCAAATCCGATACGATAACAACACTACGATGGAGAAGGACCAGGAGGTTGCCGCAAACTCTGCGGCAAACAGCAATAGCAGCCACATGGACGTCGAGTCTGGAAGAGATGGTATCTCTCATTGGAAGATGATCACAGACCAGGGTGTCGTTACCAAGGAGATTATCAACTACGACTACGAGGGTGCGGGAACTGAGGAAGATCCATATGTGGTGGAGTGGATCGACAACGACCCCAGGAACCCAATGACCTGGCCTAAGACGAAGAAGTGGATCATGGCCATTGCTGTCGCCAACTCGGTTCTCGTCGTATCGTTCTGTTCATCGGCTTTCTCTGGAGGTATGTTCTGCACAAATCAAAGTGCACATTGAATGACGTCTGACATGTTCTAGGTATCCAACAAATTATGGCTGAGTTCAGCGTCAGCCAAGAGGTTGTCACACTCGGTGTATCACTCTTCGTTCTCGGATTTGCTCTCGGACCGCTTCTATGGGCTCCCTTCTCAGAATTGTACGGTCGCCAGGTTGTCTTCGTTGGAACGTATACCGCTTTCATGGCTTTCAACGCTGGTGCTGCTGGTGCGCCCACAATCTACGGCCTGCTTATTCTCCGATTCTTCGCTGCCGCTTTCGGTTCCAGTCCTCTCACCAACGCTGGAGGTGTTATTGCCGATCTGTTCTCCGCAAACGAGCGTGGACTTGCCATGTCAATCTTCTCTGCGGCGCCATTCATGGGGCCCGTTCTTGGTCCGATCATTGGTGGATTCTTGGGTATGACTGAAGGTTGGAGATGGGTTAACGGTCTCATGGCTATCTGGGCCGGAGTGATTCTCGTTATCACCACCTGCCTCGTTCCCGAGACATACGCCCCGGTCCTGCTTAGGAAGCGTGCTGAGAAGCTCTCAAAGATTTCCGGAAAGGTTTACCGATCCCGTACTGATATCGACCAAGGCAAGGTTTCGCTCGGAGAGGCTTTCGCGACTGGTCTCAAGCGTCCCTGGATCCTGCTTTTCTGCGAGCCCATTGTCCTTTTGCTTTCGCTTTACCACGCCATCATCTACGGTATCCTTTACATGCTTTTCGGTGCTTTCCCAATCGTCTACCGTATTGGCCGTGGCTGGAACGAGGGTATTAGCGGTCTGCCTTTCGTCGCTGTCGCCATTGGAGTCTTGTTAGCTATCACATACGTCATTACTGTCGACAACAAGATGTACATGAGGAAGGTTCAAGAGTCCGGTCGCGGATTTGCTGCTCCTGAGGCACGTCTGCCTATGTGCATCATCGGTGGTATCGCACTTCCCATTGGTCTCTTCTGGTTTGCCTGGACCAACTCCCCGACTCTCCCATGGGCTGCCAGCGTCGTCGCCTCCATTCCATTCGGTTTCGGCATGGTTCTCATCTTCTTGTCCATCATGAACTATCTCATCGACTCGTACACGATTTTCGCTGCGTCCGTCTTGGCTGGTAACGGTATTATTCGTTCAGTCTTCGGTGCTGCTTTCCCTCTTTTCACCTCGCAAATGTACAGCCGCCTTGGTATTCACTGGGCTTCATCCGTCCCTGCTTTCCTAGCTGTCGCTTGTCTACCGCTCCCGTTCTTGTTCTACAAGTACGGTAAGACTATCCGCGAAAAGTGCAAGTACGCCGCACAATCGGAGGCCTTCATGGAGAAGATCCGCAACCAACATGCCGCGAAGGCAGCCCGACAGGCCGCCGGTACCGAATCAGAGGATACTTCGCGCGCCGCCACTCTTACTCCTCAAGAGGAAGTCGAAGAGGAGATGCACGAGGAAGAATCCGCGCCCAAGTTTGAGGAGATGAAGACTGAGAAGGAGACAGATGGCGAGGGTCTCAAGAAGGTTCAGACTGGGCGCTCGACAAGAAGTCGGAGAACTGTGAGGGATCTCGACTTTAACCCAAATCCGTTTGACATCGACCGCGTCAACACAAGAGAAAGCTTCGCAGGCAGACCGAGAGCCAACAGCCGAGCGAGTAGCAAGAAGTAAACATCTGTTTTTGTTGTAGCATTTTTACGGTCGAAAAGTTGTTAGATTTGACGCATGGCATCAGCATAGTATACCCCTCTCCTATTGTCGGTAGGCAATTTTAGTTCAATAATATCCATAACATGATAAGTTGCTTCTTGCTTGTGACGTACTTGACGCTCTAGCTGCTGTTAACAGTTAGGATGCTTCTGGATGATCTCCGTTGCATGGATCAACCTCGGCGATCGTCATAAGCCGCCGGCAACGCATACCGTATCAGAGACCCTTCCCATAGCATTGTTCTAGACACGTAACACGTTGCGCAATACTAAGTCTCATCGGTCCTTCCCCCGCGCGTCTCGTCAATCGCATCCGGCGATGGAGTGCGCCTGTATTCCTTCTTTAGCTCGTAGCTGCCGTCTGTGAGCGCGCATCAGCAATGCCACGTGTGCGCACTCGACATATCGCTCTCTGCGTCTCCATTGTTTGTTGGATCTATTACTTCCTTCCCAAGGACGAAGCCTTCCCGGTTCGTCATGGCGCGGATCACGGCTCTACCGCCGCGTTGGCGCACTACATGAACGATCCATCTCAAATCCCGCGCATCCTCGCAACACCGAGTAGCTTCGACTGGAGCTCCGTGAACTTCACCTACCCGCTTCCACTCGGCCCCAAGCTTCCTTCACCTTTCACCAAACGTCCTCGTATTCAACACAACTTCACACCCGACCCGAGCAATGTACATGCCATACAGGAGGAGAGGCGATTGGAGGTGAAGCGAGTGTTTGCAAAGAGCTGGGCAAGCTACAGGAGCAAGGCATGGATGAAGGATGCGCTGAAGCCGATAAGTGGACGATATGTCGACCAGTTCTCTGGATGGGCTGCGACATTGGTAGACTCACTCGACACACTTTGGATGCTAGGGATGCGGAACGAATTCTACGAAGCTGTTGAAGCTGTTGCGACCATTGATTTCGGTATGTCTACGGCACCGACAGTCAACACCTTCGAGACGTGTATACGCTACCTGGGCGGGCTTCTTGCTGCATATGACTTGAGTGGACATGAGGTGCTGAAGGCGAAAGCGATCGAGGTGGGCGACCTGCTATATGGCGCCTTCAACACGAAAAACGGCATGCCTGTTGACTTTATCAACTTCGAAAATGCGAAGCAGGGCACTGGGTTGATCGTCGAGAATCAAGTGGTTAGCGCAAGTCCGGGTACCATCACGCTAGAGTTCAGCAGGCTGAGCCAGATTGCGGGAAACGACAAGTACTATGCTGCTGTGTCGAGTCTGATGGATGTATTCGCGGAGAGTCAAACGAAGACGAAACTGCCAGGCATGTGGCCTATGATGGTGTCCATGCGCGCCAAAGACGTTGTTTCGGGTTATCAGTTCACGATAGGTGGGAATGCGGATTCCTTGTATGAGTACCTACCAAAGGCGCATGCCCTGCTTGGGTCTGCAGAGCTAAGCTCGAGCAAGTACGAGGCCATGTCACGCTCCTTCATGGATACGGCGATGAACAACTTATTCTTCGCACCTATGATACCAGGGAACGAGGACATTCTGATCTCAGGCAACGTCGATGTTCATGAGGACGGTCCCAGTCTTGACCCCGAAAGCGAGCATCTGTCATGCTTCATCGGTGGTCTTTTCGCGCTCGGTGGGCGGCTGTTCGACAACGCAGAATATCTCGAAACCGGAGCGAAGCTTGCTCGCGGGTGTGCATACGCCTACAAGTCTTTTCCCACTGGTATTATGCCAGAAAGGTATAACATGGTTCTATGCCCCGGCCCAGATCATCGTAAATCCTGCGCTTATGACGAAGAGCGCTATGCCGTAGAAGCAGCTGCACGACCGCAGCACAAATCTCACCTTCCTAAAGGTTTTACCACCGCTAAAGACCCTCGCTACATCCTTCGTCCCGAGGCCATTGAATCTGTCTTTATACTATGGCGCATCACGGGCGATCCCGTTTGGCGCGATACTGCATGGGATATGTTCGAGGCTGTAGCCAACGCAACGGACACAGAGCTTGCGAATGCTGCGATCATGGACGTTTCTGTCATCGGGTCAAAGAAAGAGGACTACATGGAGAGTTTCTGGATGGCAGAGACCCTGAAGTACTTTTACCTGTGCTTCGCCGACACGGGCTTGGTTAGCTTAGATGACTTTGTGTTGAATACTGAAGCGCATCCTTTTCGGTTATCCAAGGGGTAGGCGAAATGTATATAAACTTGCATCTGGTATTGAGAGGATTTGTTGCTGTCTCGGCCCCTCGAACAGGCTCGCAATACTTATGGTTGCAGTTGACGTGAAGAGCTTCAGGTGAGATTGCCAGTGCGTGAACTATCGCAACAAGACGCGAGCGGGACGTTAGAGTAGGCGAGAAAAACAAAGACATTGCATCGCTAAATTCAAGCTGAATACATACAACACTCATCGTGCACAACACCGCCAAATCCCCCTACCCACGTTACGTCCTCAGTGTTCTCGACGCCCATAGAACACATGCCGTAACTCCGCTGCCCCACTCTTCCCATCAGCTTAAGCATGTGCAAGCATGTGGCGTCACTCGCTATGATTGGTGTTCCTGAGACCCATTGTTTCTAAACCAGGACTCTGAAGTTTAGCGTGGGTTGCGCGCCCCCCTTGATCTTCCCCTTCAAACCCCAGGCACCAAGGCCTTTCTTTTCCTCTTCTTTACTACACTATCCAATCTCCGCGACTCTACGTCACAGTCATTCCTTTGCTTCTATTGGAAGTAGTTCATACACTCATTCTTTTTGCATAATTGGCTATTTGGCCTCGTCAGCTCTATCTTTGGACAGCTTTGTACCATATTGAAGCTCTCTTTCCCGCATCGATCCGTCATTACCAACACCACCGTATATTCTCCTCGAAGCATTACTTTAAGCGAAGATGCGTTTCTCCATTGTTGCTGCTGCACTTGCAGCTGCTCCCGCCGTCGTCTCGGCTGCTGAGAAGGGCAAGATGGGATTCGCCCTCGGAACGAAGATGGGAAGCGGAGCATGCAAGACCCAGCAGGATTACTCCGACGACTTCAAGATGATCAAGTCGAACTCTGGCTCAACCATTGTTCGTGGTTACGCTGCCTCGGACTGCGACATGGCTAAGAACGCCCTCCCGGCTGCCAAGTCAGCCGGCTTCAAGGTTGTTCTGGGTATCTGGTAAGCTTCATGCTCTTACGAACGACGATTCAGAACCAAGTTTGCTAACACATGATACCACAGGCCCGATGTCGAGGAATCCTTCCAGAAGGACCTCAAGGCCATTACCGACGTTGCCCAGCAATACACCGATACCATCTACGCCGTAACCGTCGGCTCTGAGACCCTCTACCGTGGAAACTTTACTGGTGAAGAGCTCGCCGGCAAGATCAAGACTGTCAAGGACAAGCTGCCCTCTGGCATCAAGGTCGGAACTGCAGACTCATGGAACAAGTTTGCCGACGGAACTGGTGATGCCATCATTGGCACTGCCGACATCATCATGGTTAACGCCTTTGCTTTCTGGCAGGGTGCCAGCCGTGAGAACGCTACGTACGTGCAATCCTTCAGTCAAGCACACCTTGAAGGATAAACACAGACTAACACTCTTGCAGTCACGTCTACCTTGACGACATGTACCAAGCCACCGCCCACATTGAGAAGGTCGCTGGAGGCCGCTCCAAGGCCCCTGAGATCTGGAACGGCGAGACCGGCTGGCCCACGGCTGTTGGCACCGACTACGACGCTGCGAAGGGTGGACTGGACAACGCTAAGCACTTCTACCAGCACGGTTTCTGCTCGCTGCTCGACTGGGGTTTCAACGGCTTCTACTTTGAGGCTTTCGACGAGCCCTGGAAGCCAGCTTCCATTGGTGACAATGGAAAGGCTGCTGACGAGACTGCCTGGGGTGCCATGACTGCGGACCGCCAGAAGAAGTTCGATCTTATGTGCTAGATTTAGACTAGGTGGAGACTGATCTTAAGGCCTGAGGATGAGTTGAACATAGACGGCGGGAGACAAGTCGTTGATATAGCTTGATCATTGCATACAAACAAATTTAGAGTATAGACGCATCGCTCCTACATATGGAAAGGTTACGGCCAGTTCTTTTTTGAATAACTTGTTACTTGATCAGATGTATCCACCACGACTCTTATTCTTCGTAAGTGATTTTCATGCCAGTTACTAGACAGAACAAAAATAATTGTCGCTTACAACTGAGGAGTAGAGGCGAGATCCGAGCACGGGACATGTCCGCTTCTTGTCGATAACAATGTATCGTTCCCACCCTAGAGCACTATCCTTCACCCACGCGAGCGCAAAAAGAAATTGCTCTCCGAAGAGAGCCACGGTTGATTCAGCCGAGGTTTGAACTCGGGACCTTCAGTGTTAGAAACAACTGTCGTTGTTAGACTGACGTGATAACCAACTACACCACCGAACCGTTTTTGATGGAGAGACTATATTTAGCAAAATATATGATGTGAGAAGTTTTCATCTCTTGACGAGATGAAATATTTCTAGTATGCCCAGTTCAAAGTATGAGATATCGTGAGGTAAAGGTACCCACAAAGTAAGGTAAGGTGCAAACGCGAAAGGAAAATTTTCGCCCCACCTGAACCCACATCTCGACAACGACCTACACTACAACTCTCTCATAAGTCGGCTGCTCAATTTCAGTCTGGGGTGTTGACGCCGCAGAACTTGGTGTTGATCCCCCAGAAAACAGGCTTGAGCTTCTTGACCCAACCGGTGACAGCGCGTACAAAGATTCGTAATCCGGAGCAAACTCTCGCGACGGCTCTCTTGGCGTGTACTGCGGAAGTGGCTCAAAGTCTTCGCCGTCTTCTAGTTGCAATGATAGCGAGCGGTCGCGGGGTATGCGAGGTAGAATCTCCAGTGCCGTGTTGGAACGGATGGTGAAGTGTTGATCATTGTATTTGATACCGATGGATATACCAAGAACGTACCGTCGGGTGATCGAATATGTTTTGAAGGTCGGAACACACTCCGTGTCATCGATGAGACGAAAGTTGGACGTCAGAGTTGTCGTTTTGTTGAATGGAATTGGTCTATTCATGCTGGTCCGCGATATGCAGGTGATGTGCTTCGACACAACGTCCTCGGGATCCATTATGGTGTGTCCGCACATCGTTGTAGAGTACGTCGAGATGGTGACTGTCAAGGAGTCGATGGTGCATTCCCGTTCAGCATGATTGGCGGGATCTCGTGCGTTCAGCAGGCTGAGCGACAACGGCATGTGCTGTCCAGGGGCAACCTTCTCGGGATGAAACAACGTGGGAATGATCCGAGGTGTCGAATTCATAGAGACACCGGAGAATACTTTCTTGACCCGCGATTCTTCTTTCTCTTTACGTGGCTTCCATGCTTGAGTGTAGAGTACAGAAGATGTAGCTTTCGCTCGTTGTGGCACGTCGACTTCCGATCTTGGATGATATCGCAGTGTGTATTTGCACCTCTTGGTATCCATCGAGCCACTGATGATAAGTCTGGCTTGGACAAAATATGATATCTGAGCTGCGCCACCTGGAACACTGGTCTTGAGGTGGAACGAGGGTGGAAGTGGGTGTGGCTCTCGAAGATAGTTACAGCCATGTGCCATCCGCTTGTAATGTGGTTCGGTAGACTCTGGAAAGACAAACTCAAAGTCCCATGAGTACTTCCTCGGCCCAAGAGTGCGGCAAGAAACTAGCTCTTTCTCGCGGTTAAACAGTCGAATCTTCTCTTCGTAGTCGTGTCTTTGCGCAGGAGGGTCGGTTTTGGTATTCACATGTAAAGGCCGGGACGTTTTGGTGACACAACTGCCAGCAAAGACAACTTTCAGCGACTCAATTTCTGCCTCCTCTTCTATTGCCAGTGAGATCTTTCCAGTAACCTTGTCTCCCCTTCGATACACCCTATTGCTATCGCCGTCAACAACAATTCTCAAGGCTGGCACCGTCATTTTTGGTGAGAAGAAGAGGGACGATCAGCAATGCAGGGACCTTGCAAGGCTTAAGAGCGTGTGAATAGGTAACGATGATTCGCGGAGGTTCCAGGCACGCGGTTATCGGTGCAGACCAGACTAGGAGAACGTTTGCCGGGGTAAGAGTTATGCCAAGGATGAGAGGATTTGCTGGGCATGCAACTGAGATATGGATAACGGAAGGTGAAAGGACGAATCCGCTTTAGAAGGGAGGCTGAGTGCATTTGGATATTGGGCATATATGTTGCTTACCGTTGGCTTTGCGCGCGCCTTGCCAATTCGAACGTCATCTTGCTGCCAAGGGTCTACCATGAAGCAGTTGGGTTGAAGGCATGATGTCCTGTTAGTGTTGTGCTGTCAGGCCTTGTAAGGAAGGGATGTTCGTGGTAGGCGTAATCGTGCACCAAGCTACCTGTTTCATCCCTTTCCTGATCATGATCTTCCGTGAATTACCCAGCATGCGTCGCATAGTCTTTAGAGGCCCAACTGCCCAAAAGCTTTTTGTCGCCATTCTTCCGCAGAGTGCTGAACAGCGGGATGCAGCCAAGGAGACCACGACTTCTTGGCTGGTAGTCTGGATTCAGCCACACTGATACCCCAGATCCGCCCCGCTAGACTCTGTAGCAGAACCGTCGATATGGGATCAGAGGAATGTGTGTATCCACATATTCTCCGCGATGCAAGATCTGGAGCTGGAGTGATCTGTTAGCAACGCGTACTGCATTGAGCTGTTGTGAGTCATTAACGTGTCAAAAATTCAGGGCAACGAGTGAAATGGATAGCACGCGGGGTGTCCGCTGGAGGCGTGCCACATTCAGCAACGGCGCCCGGTTGGTGCTCGCTTCGAGACTGGATACGCTCAAAAGGTCCTTGGCCCTCCACAAGCCGACGATTGGCGGACCGACTTGCCAGAGCTGCTCGGGGACAACGAGAGTCCATGTGCCCACGTCTCGGAAAGCAGGTTTGTAGTCCGCTTCACCTCACAGCTTCACAAGGGCGGTGAATCAAGTATAAGACAGTCAGTGTCTGGTGGATGCGAAGTAGACGAGATGGAGCCAAATACGTTGACAGTGTCAAGTTGTTGTAGATGAAGATGCAGAGGAAGGATCGCTCTAGGTTCTAGTTCAGTGGGGTGCTTGGGCAGATTGCGCCAGGGCGGGCACGTGGCGAGATATCGATAAGGGTCGGTGCCATCCGAAAGCGCCTCTTTGCACTGATGCTTGCAATGGTCTTGAGAATCACAAGGTCGTGCCACAAGGAACACCGGACCTATCTTTGAAATGAGAAGTCAAATCGCATCTTAATACCAGAGGTGAGAACAGTCTGCTGTAAATTCACTGTCCTTTCAGACCTAATCCCTTAAAGGCGAACGGAAGGACAATTCCAACTGTGAGCCAGATGATATCTCTCGAAACGAACAGCGTCAGCATGTTCGAACTGTGACTTTCTCTCTTTACGTTTAGTAGTTGATAGCATGATGCTCCAAAGAGGATGTTTCCACACTTACTATATGTTGCGAAATTTGTATCTACGCTTCGCGAAAGTTCATTTCCAGCAGAGGCCTAACTTGTGCCAAAGTCTGAATTTACAGATTGCACAAGACAAAACATGCTAGCACAAACAACATATTCTCCGTTATGCGCAATGTGATAATAGTTGTAATATTCGTGACGTAGGACAATCTCCGTCTTTTGATTACCAAAATCGCGCCCAGACCTCAACGCGTGCTCACGCGTCGGGGTCCACTAAAACTATCTACGAGGCCATCACCCTTACGCCCACCACTCCCTAGTGAACCCATCCCACAATCGCATCTTCTACTATTCAAACGACGCTGCTTCCATACTCAAACGCCCGTAACCACAACAAACTATGCCGCCGAGGAAGAGCAATGTATCCGCGGTGTCAAACGAAGAGAGTCCCGCACCGCCTAGATCAGTACCGAGAGAGGAGAGCTTGGGTGTCGAGGTTTGTCGCATTACTCGAAAGCGTATCGGACTACAATATGGCTAACAATGCGATTGCAGGACCTGAATCTGCCAAAGTCTATAGTCCAGCGCCTGGCCAAAGGTGTCCTGCCACCGAATACCCAAATACAAAAAGATGCGCTCCTTGCTATGAGCAAGAGCGCAACTGTGTTTGTCAATTACATCACATCAGCGTACGATCCCTACAAATATATCATACGCCAGACGTATGCGGATTACAACAAATAGACTTTCGCTAACAATTGTCCAGCGCCGCGGAAAAGGCACTCGCCAGCGGCAAGAAAACCGTCATGCCAAAAGATGTGTTCGATGCAATGACAGAGCTGGAATTCGCGTCCTTTCTCCCCCGCCTCGAGGCCGAAGTCACCAAATTCACGTCGATACAAGCCGATAAGCGGAATACGTACAGGAAGAAGGTGCGCGAAGAGAAGAAAGCCACAAATGGTACCACCGAGGTTGCTACTTCAACTCCTGCGAAGTCGGCGGAAGGTGGTGACGTGACAATGGAGGGTGCGGATGATGGTGGTGAGAGGGCGGCGAAGAGGGCCAGACGGGAGAGTGGAGATGCGGGTGAGGGAGATGTCACTGAAGAGGAGGTGGATGAGACACAAGACGTGGAGGACGAGGAAGTCGAGGATGACGAAATTGAGGAGGAGGTTGTTGGAGAGGAATTGACAGAAGATCCGCTTGAGGAGAAGGAGGCCAACAAGGACGACGACGATGACGACGACGGGAATGAGAGCGACTGAGAAGTCAGAAGTGTCTTGTATGGCTGGGAAGATATCACTGCATGGGACGGCGTTCAGGATGGGTGGGGTCTGAAGCATTGGTTCAGAGCAGATCAGTCAGGAATCTGAATTGAATGTGCTGTTTCACGAGACACTATGCTGGAGCTACCTAAGCCCATAGGTTGTCTCAATGTATGAAATCATTGCATTACACGTCTCTGTGAGACTTATAGTGTCGGATTGCCTGGACGTCGCGCGCATCTTGCAACCATGGTACCATATGCGTTATGCAACACCTGTCGTGGTTGTAGTCCTTTACGTGGGTGCTTCTGTGCTCCTCAAGAGCATGTTTGTATGCCACCTTCAGCGCTTCGTCTTTGGGGGTATGCTGGAATCGAGCGGATCACCGTAACGCACTTTCCACTCGTTAGCAGACTTGTTGGCAGCCGAATAGAATATACTCACATCTAACCATGTTGCTCTTGTCGACAATGTTGTCCAGTGCCCTAGCCTCTTCCTCGCGCGCCCTAGTGTTCTTCCACTCAAAGCCCGGCTGGTCCTCCTGCTTGCTCCACTGGTAACCCGTCTCAGCATCCTGGTGGGTACCGCTTCCACCCGTGCCGTTGCTCGTAGCTGCTTGCGTCATGCCGGTAGACAGTGGACGCTTTCCGTTTGAGTTGACGCCGAGGGTCTCGCGGGTTGTAGGTTGTGAGTTTGGTGGTGAGATTTCGTTTACGCCTGCGAGATTGGAGTTGTGGGGTGTGGCTGGGTTGTTTGGGAGAGCTTCGTCAGGGAACATCTCATCGTCCGAGGCAGCATTAGTGGGGGACGATTGCATGGTGGAGTCGCCGTCGCGGTCTGAGAAGGGCGTCAGGTAAGTGCGCTGTCGTTTGGAGGCCATGGCAGGTGGTTGGCACGGGAACGTGACTTACCCGACATGTTTGCGAGCTTTACGGGGGTATTCGCGGCGTGATAGCGGCAGGAAATGCGTTTGCGACGCGGGTTGTTGCTCGCTGTAGAAGGCAACAGTGAATGACATAGGCGTGGAGCTAATCGCGGCCCGCCGCAGGGGTCAAGGTGGGGACCCTTCGAAATATTGGCGACATCATACCTGTGGGCCACAACTCTTTCACGCGACTTGACCTTTTGGACGAAACCCCTCTTTACAGTCGACCGAAAAAACACTTGCCCAATATGCCGCCCAAGAACACACTCGCCGACGCCTGGGACGACGATTGGGAATCGCTCGCTGATGTACATGTGCCCCTCTCTCCTGAAAGCAACCGCTTATACCTTGTAGAAAGAGGACGAGAAGCCTGCAGAAGAGCAGCCAAAGCCGAAACTCACAAAAGCCCAGCTCAAGGCTCAGCATGCTGAACTCAACAAGCAGCTCTGGCAGGCCGCGTAGGTTGCCAATCTCTAGTCGCAGACACGACGTCTAACTAGCTTGAACAGCGAGAACCCAGAGCCTCAATGGTACCCTGAAGTCCGTCCTGCTCCTGTAGCAGCAACTTTCAAACCAAAAGTCACGATGCTTGCACGCAAGCCCACCCCTCAAGTCCTCTCACGCAATATGGCTGGTATGAGCCTTGATGACGATGACAGCGAAGAAGAGCGACGGAAGAAGGCAGCAGCAGACTTCGAAGAGCGCAAAGCACGTGCGCAGAAAGAGCGGGCGGAGAAGGAGCGCAAGTACGCAGAAGCACGAGAGCGCATCTTTGGCTCACCAGCTGCTTCCGCCGCAGAGGACTCGCGCAGCAACTCTCCCAACAAGGCTACACGAGGCAAGGGACGCGGACGTGGTGGAAGGGATAGTCAACCTAGGTCGAGCAACGAGCAATCCCCAGCACGAACGGCAGCTCCTGCGCGCCAACTCTTCGACCCTACATACACCCCAAAGCCCGGCTCCGTATTTATACAGAAGAAGGAATCCGGAATCAGTCGCCCATCTACGCCAAACACACAAGAGAAGCCTGTTCGTCAACCCCAAGGACCTGCAAGAGGTGGCGGGCGCGGCTTTGCACCAAGGGGAGGCTACGGTGCTCAGGCAGGTCCGTCAACATGAGCTTCCCGAGGTTCCTGTCATACCGACAGACCTTCTACGCGCCAATCTCTTCGAGCGTGTATGGTATTCTGGACCTGTACTGGCAAGCAATGGGACTACCTACGAATGGGTGACAGCGCCACTACTACCTAGGCCCCCCTCCTGAGAATCATTAAGATGATCACTGAGCTGGGAGCAACTCCGGAAAAGAACAAGCGGTCAACGCAACGGCGGTATTTTGAAGCCCTCGGTATCATTTACAGCATTGGATCGTCGTCCAGCTATATCTCACCAGAGGACTCACTTCTATCCACACTATAGATATGCAGTCACACAAAGACGCCGCACGCCCATATGTGTGATGGATACGAAAGTCGAGAGCAGGGAGATCAATGTCAATGACCTCGTGGAAGAGGACTAAGCGGCAGGTGACAATGCGGGCGCAGAGAATCAAGATATCGAACGACGCACCAAGAGGCATTGAACTGCGGAACAGCTACGCATGGCAGCTGAAGAACGAAATTGATGGAGAGAGACGGTCAGCAGCAACATATGTGTTACCTTGCCGACATGAAGGAAGAAGCATAGTTCTTGAAACTAGACACATTTGTACGTTGTCATGAACAGAAAGCGAATTTAACAACCTAGTATAGTGTCAGGGCTATCACAAGTAACATATTATCGAGATTTGTACTGTCGAATGCCTGCATCCATGTCGCATGTCTCTGGTCGTTTAAGACTCTTGTCATGTTTCAATCTGTAAGGATGGTGATTGGAATCACTGTTGTTGTGCATGTAGAGTAGTATTCAGTTAGCTGGAGGCACGGTTAAAACAATTCAGATAACCACTGACGGTACACAATGCGACTTTGAGGTCTGCCAGAGGCATATGGGGGCAGTATCCTGAGGTCATACAGACAACAGGCTTTGACGTTTCAGCCGAGTTGGACCCGTCTGTCCAGAGACTTTGCATAGAGTTGAATAGGGGGTTTCTACTTGAAGAGATGTACACATTTCTCTGTAGGGGCTCCAGGGACATTTCATACTCCGAAGACTTACGTGCCCTCCAACATAGCTGGATATTGATATAGGATTGAGAAATTCGGTACTGTTATTTTGTCCAATATACAAAACATGGTACACAATCAAGACTTGCGCGCATCTAGTATTGTAATGAGAAGATACCATGAAGGTTTGATACCTTTTACAAGAGTCGTTGCCAAAGACTGTTGTATAACGGCGTCCAATGGAAAAGAAATCGTGAGTAGGACATGTTGCAAGGATGAATGAACAGTTCAAACTATAGTAAGCACCTCGACTGGCGCGTCATTGTTCTTGACATCTTCCCAAGGAAACACATTGGCGCAGCTTACGATGCGATAATGACCATCTCCTGTCTCACGGACGACCCATACCCCTTCCACACCTCCGAGTACGCACACCCAGTCACCAGGTTGCACACCATCCTGACTTATACCAACGATATCTTCGGGTGTCATGAACAGATTCTTGATGTTCGAATCTCGAAGCATGTTGAGATAGGCATAGCTCGCGTCTCTTCGCCATGACTGGGGGTCCTGAATATCATCAGGAGGAGTTACGAGACCTCGAAAGGCCTGGTATGACATGTACAAGTCTTTGAACATCTCTTTGTTATCTCTAAACGTGTATCGAGCATATGACAAACTAACCGACAAGTCGAAAAGTGCTTTGTCAACCTCTTCAGGGCGCCATCGATTTTTGCGGCCAAGAGCTCCTTGAACCATATTTAAGAAAGACATAACCTCTTCTTCCTCTTTTGGGCTGATGGAAGCTGACTTTGACAGATTGGAACCAAGAGCGCCTTGCTGAAGCTGCAAGCCTTTCTCGACACAACTGATCCGAGCATTACGTTGAGCAGAGATTTTTAGAGCTTTACCACCCCTTTCAACCTCACAGATCTCGGCGATATCATATTCGAGTACCAAACGGGTTTCAAGGATGCCATATATGTGTGTCTCGGACCAATCCGGAACCCATGACGGGAGGTTTCTGTAAGTTGAAGAGGGACGTAAAACATCGAAATAGTCGAAACTTCCAGCGCGTATAGAAGCTTCAGCAAGTTCCGTATATACCTCCTCAACTGACTTCGTGTAATCAACGTGAAGTCCACACGCTTCAATGTCGCTGATCCGCCCAAATGAACTATAAACAAAGTCTCTTGGATCCGAAGACTCCAGTTCACTACCAACCCCGAAGGAGAAGCTGGCCTCATCATTGCCGAGAAATTCGCGGAAAGGAAGGGGTTTCGAATGCTCAAATCGAAGGATGTTTGAATGGTACCCGTGGCCTCTCCAGAACATCGATGATATCCAATATTTCCCGAAGGAATCGAGTAGCTTTCTTCGGTTGATATCGCGCTGACCGCAGACGAATATAACTTGTTCGTTCAGAGCTACCTCTTGCCCGACCCACACACGCTTGAACCACGGGCGAGCAAGAAGAGCTTTGATTGATGCAAAGGGTAAAGTCGCAAATCGCTCGCTGTGAAGATCCGTCCACAGTTTGAATGATGGAAGGTCATAGTCTTCACAATATTTCTCTAACTCTTCTAGCGCTAAATCACTGTCGTCTGCTACAGGACCAATCCATGCAATAACCATAACGGCAGATGCAAAGACATCACCCATTCTCTGGACTTGTACGCTCTTCTCGTTCGAGTTGCTCTGGTCGATACAGATAGCGTCTATCCAGAATGTGATGGTCTTGTCCTCTTCTTGCAGATGCTCCAAAGCCACAGCAAGGTTCTCAGTAGCATGAAAGACCTTGTCGCCAACTATTATGGGACGACGAATCTGAGCATCACCCCAAGTGTACGACAAGCCGGCATAAGAGGGTCTTTGCTCGTTAGCATCGGAGAGAAGCTCGCAGCGAACCACTGTTTGTCCGTCGATATCGATGTTGTGCGTTCTTGGAAGTAGGTACAGATACCGGAGTTCTGTACTGGGGTCTTGAAGTGGTTGGTGTTTGAACACTTCAAGATTGCGGATGTCAAGAAGCTTTGACTCGTTGGTATCGGTGAAACGATCCGTCAATGCTGACTTGTAAGCGTCGCTTTGGGAGCGACACGACATTGCGACTGATCACATGCCGAAAGGTGCCAGAAAGGGCAGAAGGAGAGCAAACGAGGAGTTGCAGTGCGTATTGCGCAGGTTTCTGGTAAAATGATAACTTGAACTCTCAGCCTTGGAGGTATTCTGAGGTTGCCCCGCCCTCACGTGAGAGTCCTCAATGTGGCTTAATGCCAACGGAACAGGCGCTACTCAGCATAACAACAGTGACAAAGGAGCTCCTTCCAGAAGTTTTAGTTCGACTTGAAGAAACAAGAGACAGTTCATCCACTGGAACCAGAGACGATGTTGCAGTTGCTGGAAATCTTTGCGAATATCCAGCATAGCACATGTACATGCCGCCTGCTAAGCTCATGGTGGTCTAAGCATACTAAAGGACTCAAAGAGTAACGAAAGCCTGAGGATTGACCTGATCTTACGTTGATAAGATGCGAGAGAGCTGTCCTACCAAGAAAGTTGCACTACTACGGCTGTATGGCGGTCTTGGGAGAAGGAGACCTGCGGAACTTTCCCAATCGCCAAAAAGCCTTTAACGAGTTACCATAAATGAGGCGTAATCAATATACAAGATGCGGATCCGAAAGGCCTATTCCATGTTAAAAAGTATCACCTCATAGTGTTACTGTCACGGACCAATCTTCAGCAGAATGCAGATGTCCCATGGCATGAAGAGAAAATTTGATCTTCACCGACTGTGATCACCCTAGTCATACGGCAGGTAGGAAGCAAGGCTTGAGACGAAAAGTGTTTGATTGTAAAAGTGAAGCAACAAGCAAAGAGAAAGATTCTGTACACCACCAATGATCGGACATGAAACCTTGACTCGCGATGCAGTACATAAGCGTATATCAATCATCTCACGCGACAGGTCTAGTCCGCCCAGAAAGGCCCGTATATCGGCGGGTACTCAGCTTGAAGTATAATCGCATATACCAGCATCGAATAGCGCCTTTCCCCTCTTCTCCGGTACCGAGTGCCCCTCGGAACGGCCATCCGCGCAGTGAGTACCTGTACATCGTCAGGTACCAAACACTAAAGGTAGTCTATGGATGCTTTTCGTGGCAACTCAACACCCTTCCGCGGCTCTTTTTGACGGTTCTGCATGCATGCAGCATACATAATGTCCGTGCAGATCGTCCTACCGTATGGTAGACGTGACTAAACGTTTCAATTAGCCTATCCGAAGTATCGTGATCGTCGAAAGCCTCGTCATCCGCAGTGCTCGTGGTTGTGGTAGCCTCTAGGCAGCAGGTACAGTAGAGCTAAAGCACTGTCCTTTTCTTCCCGTCCGGCTGCCGCAAAAGGAAACAAGACCGTTATACGCGTCCTAGAGGTCGGCAAGACGGTGGTGGAGATCATGAGTCCCGGTGGCGCATCTGCGATTCTGCGTAGCGATTGGAGAGTTAGTAAATCGCCCTCCGCAGTCATGGCGAATTCTACAATGATTGGCGACAGTAACGCATGTGAGTGGAAACGCCGCCTCACGATACCAGCGGACGGAAGGCGGAGACGAAGGACCTTCTCACCGACGCAAAATACCGATAACTCAACACGCTGATCGGTACTCGTACTCGTTGCCTGAACGACGCACGTATTCAACGGACCATATCGGTTTGGGACTGGCAACTCGAAGAGCCTCATGCACCATCCATGCTTCAACCTTGCTGGAAAGTAAATATGGCGGTGGGCGAAAGCTATGACGCAGGACGAGATCCACCTGTCTAAACTGCTCGTCAATGCATGAAGTTGCTGGGAGAAGCCAGGCCTCCATGTGGCTCGCTAAACACACAGGCTTCTTCCCTATACCATGACTCACCGCTGAAGTGATGCTTTTTCGATGAGCGGGCGGCTGCGGAAGCGCGTGATCTATGGAAATGTAAATGTGTGTGGCGAATATTTCGACAGCATTTACAGGATGGAGTAGCTGAAGTCGTGAACTAATCGATTCGAGCTGTTTCAATGGAAGGGCCATTGTCCGAGTGGCAAGAGTCGCTAAGTGTTTCAATTATTCGCTTCGCAACAGCTTGACTGAAGCGGTCAAATCGGAGCAGCAGTAAGGCCGGCGGTGACCTGGCCGATCGATGGCGATAAAATGTAAGACGAAGCGGATTGAGACGGTAATGTTTGCCATCGGACACGAGCCCAATCGTGAACGACTGCGGACCCTGATAGTGATCAGTGACAAGCGTATTGCGTGTTGCTTGTAATCATTCGTCCGACGTCCGTGATGTTGACTGTTGAGGCGACCTTGCGCCACAGGGGAAACCGACGTTTCGCTTACGAGATCCCTGCAACGCATATCATTATTGCGCATGTGACTCGGAGCGTCCATGCCAAGCGCGTGCACCGCCACACATGGTCGAGTCTGCGGAATACTTACAATTAGGATGTATTGAATTTGCAATACCAGAGCGAATCGTTGGGCCCGGATGAATTATTTTAGGAGGTGCGTCATGCAGCTAGACCGCTCGCATGTCGACGACAGCTGCGCAGCTTGCAGTCGTGGCAGACTAACGTGGTCGTCCGACGAATCCGCAGCGCAGCAGTCGTGAGCCTGCACTCGATAGGGCTGCGCAAACCTGTGCGATGCGTCATAGCGATTCTGGTTAGCATCCATGGGTATCGCAGTTGCCTCCGTCCCGCTGCGCGTTTGTGTCGTCCTAGTGTCGTCTTGAGGACAGGTGTATAGAATCATGGGCGCTTAGTGTTGCAAAGGTCCACTTGGTGAAGAAGCCTCATTCTGATATCAGTCCATGACGATAGTAGCATGCGGGCGCGGAGTAAACAGTTCTGCAGGTCATGGGGAGTCATAGCAACGCATGATGTTGGTGGGTGCGAAGGATTACGCAAGGTGAGTTGTCTGATAGCAAAGTGGGTACCTGGAATTTTGACACCTTGAGAAATCATTGTGGGAAGCTCGGTAGGAAGGCGAACCCGATGAGCCACAGCGACAAGGCCCGAAGTAGTCCAATAAGGGCCGGGCATCGGGGTCAAAATACAAATGAGAACTGTGTGCCGAGAGATTACAAGGAGTGTGTTGACGGGAGATACCAGACTGTATGCGACCAAGGCGCAGGTATTCATGCACAGCACGGATACAGGCGTTCCGCCGGAGCCAGTCAAATTCAATGTGCGAGGTACTTGCGCTGCGAACTTGCTTTATCGAGCCGTAGTAGCTGCGAGCGGGGAGATCAAACCATGTAACCGCGACAAGTTACTTTGTTGTTGATAGTTTTCATCGAATCAAAACGGCGCCGGTGCAGCGATATGCAGCCGTAAGTGGGCCTTTCATCGACAGTACCATATGCCTTGGAAGACGACTGCAGACATTCGAAGTAGCGGTAAACAACGACGCATCCCCAGGCCAGCGACTTGGATAAGCTGTGAGACATTCGAAAAATTTTCACGGGCGGGAAATTAGCTTCGTACAGTGATCAGAGGGAAGTTCGAGAAGGGATCCGAGCGATAGAGTGCGGCTCTCAGCAGGCGACAGGGCCTCCCTAGCAGTGATAATCGGTCCCAAGCGACGCGGGACGACGTTGAATGGTGGACCTGCCGCTGTTTCGGATGGAAGTACTCCAGCCAAAACCAGCCGTGTGCCGCGACGATGGGCCATTGTAGCGTTTGTGCTAGGCGAAAGGTAGTTTACGAATGGGGTAGGTATGGAAATGGTCGCGAGCTCAAAGCAACGTTGAGGTCATGTTTGGCGATCAACAAAGACTATATGTCGCCCGGTAGCTGGTCGGTCACGGCAGGATTGGCAGCGTACGACGCCCGTGTGGGAGGGTTCTGCGCCGGTGGCAGCATGTGCTCGCAGTAAGAGGAAGCACAGGCAGAATGGGCCGTGTTATTGCATCCGCGCTGTAGCGAGCCGCGAGTCCTGCCCAACGACGGATATGGAGGATGAAAGGGTGGAGTGGAGCTTTGTTGGCTGCAAGGAGGGCCGTTTGAAGAGAGTTCAGCAGCAAACGAAACACGCTGAAAACGGTGACAGCTGAATGCAAGGCGATGCTGCACAGCATGTGGCACAGCAAATGAAGGGAGTACTCTGTCGTGGTTGCTTACGCTAGCCATGCTCGAAGGGGCATTTTACGATGGTGTCGAGGATTACGGGCATATAGCGGGCAACATGTGTTTCCAATATTACACACCCAAAACAGAACAAATATAAAACAGGCTGGGCGCGCAATGCCCGTCGTCAGGCATCAAGTATGGGCGTGCGGAGAGTGAATGGCCTCCCCCAACGCCTCTGTTTCTGGTCGGACTCAGCGCGAGTGCTCAGAGTCAGAGCCGGCTGGACAGGCAGTAGGGTTCGGGGCTAGCTTCCCAGAATACTCGTGGGCAATATGGGCAGGAGGCACAGCATGGTCAATCTGACCCGTAGATGAGGGTATGCTAACAGCCGGGGTCCCTTGGGCAGCTTCTAGTGGGTGCATGGCGCGACAGGGGGCTGCGTTAGGGCGGATGGGCACTGTAGTCCGCGCACGGATACAGCGACGAAAGCGGGCTCGGTCTCAAAAGCAGGCGCAGCCCGCCGTCGCTTCCTCTTTTGCGCACTCGAGCACCATCATCACACATTACCAAGCATTTTAGACGTCAACGTCTACTTCGATTAGGATCCCATACTCTGGATCCTTCTGGCACCCTCTAGTAACTACTCGACTCGAAACCCAATGTGCAGTAGACAGAGCCGGATTTCCCTTTCTCTCCCCTCCGTCACTGCTTCCACATCCACATCCGCCCGCTCCCAGCGCCCGCGAAGACCCTCGTTCGGTTTGCATATTCCAAGGTGAAGCAGGCACCGGCCTGGGCTCCTTCCCCATCGAACCGTATACGCACCTAAACAACAACCACCCACACACGCACTGCGACATCCACCAAAATGTACGCACCACAGTATCCGACTCCTCCCCCGGGCTACATGCCCTACGACCATTTCCGCACCACGCCGCCAATGTCTCCCGGTCCCGGCACCAGCTACTACTCCCCACGACACGCGCCCC